CTAATTCTCATCCAGCTAGAAAGTATGGTTGTAGTTCGTCTTAAAGTAGGAACTTCCTACTGCAGTTTGACTCTTGGGATGCTCACTTTGGATTTCTTCAGTAAGTGAGAAATCTAGGTCATGATTCTGCATCAGAATCTGCTAGTATGGGGCCCCTAAGCTTGTGCAATATTCCACTAACTTTTGGACTCCACATGGGTACAGTGATCTATGCTAGTGGGTCATGCTAGAGCACTGGCCCTAATTTTGAAATGGACTTCGGTGTTATGGTTTTGTTTGTTTTAGGTATACCTAGAGAAGAGGTGTGGAAGAATAACTCAGTTCCAGCTGAATACCTGTACAACTGGGCACTTACCTGTCTATCGCTACTAGAGCTTACAAAGGAACTACAGCATACGCAAGATTCACCTTTAGCATCTCTAACTCCAAGACCCAGCCTGATTGCATATAAGTCAACAGAAGTTTTGCTGTCCTCTAACCCTAGTGATTTTATTATTTAATGTTACTTTTAAATGTTTGGCTTTACGTTTGCTATTCATAGCTAATAAACATAAGTTGCTTAACAGGTGTAGAAAAGCATTAGGAATATCTAAGTAATTTATTTAGAAATGTTAAAAGGAACAATTCTGATAGCACAGGTGGGTCATTCTAAACTCAAGAGACTTGACCGAAGAGAATACTCTCCGGTTTTCATTTAATTCTGACAAGAGAAGAGGATTAAACAAGAGGAAACATATAACTTGTATGTCTACCACATTACATGATTCATAAATGATAACAGAAAAAATCCTTATGAATATTTAGCAAAGATTAATTTTCCTAAAATGACATTTTCCAAGTCACTTTAAGCCTAGAAAGGATTGTTGAACAGCATGCTTTCAGCTACTCTCAATGGGCAGTACACTTATTCTGGAAAATCCCTCTGGTTTTAATGTGACAGGAGTTTTCTTATTGGGTTAAAGCTTGTTTACAGCAAACTTTACTGCTCCGTTGCAAGATTCCATCTTTGCAATAAAGTATCTTTTGGCAGAATCAGTTTTTTAATAAAATGTTGGGAAATTAAACTTCTTTTTCTTTATTTAGTTGACAAAGTGTGATGTCTTCCAAATACTTTCTAATTTGAGATTGCAGGTTGCTTTTAACCTCCCCATATAAAACGATGGTGATTATCTGATAGCTGCTTCTAACCGGCAAGTGGGTTTCATATTTTTGTTGGGGGAAAGGCTTTTCAGGTCACTTGCAGTGATATTTCTAGGAACAATGTCTTTACAGATATTATACTGATAGCCACAAGCACTTGTCCCTTCAGAAGATGCTCACAAACAATCCATTGTGAATACAAATTACTTACTAAGCTTTATGAATGGAACAGAAAAGGAAGGGTGCTTATATATTACATGGTTTGCTTCAGCGAGTCAGGTAACACACCAGGGCTTTGTCTAGGTCAGTGTCTCCACCTTTTCAGGTAACTGAACCAAACTAAGACCTCAGCTACACTTGCCTGTACTGCTGTCACCCATCTGAACATTGCACTGCATTAGAGCTTGATCACAATTTGGAGGAGCCAAAGGTCCATTGCAGGCAGAGTGTGCCCAGCTGACTGTGAGGCAGGCAGCAGACACAGGAACTTCATTAAGGTAGAGGGGATCAGACTAACGCAAGCAGAGAGTACCAGGACTTGTATGTACCCAGGCTAAACATCACTCGGAGAAAGCCTGTTTCCCTCCTTCTCATAGCACGATTCTTACATTGTCAAACGATCAGTTCTCCTCCAACAAGAAAACATCTGTGCCTGGACTCTGGATGCATCAGCATCTCACGGCATGTCATTGCTCTGCTCAGACTGTTTCCATGCGCGGTGTTAGGGTCCCCGATTCTCCCCTGCGCCAGCGGACAGTCCCGCCTGGGGAGCGGGCAGCTGAGAGTTCCCCTCTGACGGGGCTGGCGGCGTTTGATACCCAGTTGGCACCGCTACAAGCAGCTTCTCCCTGGGCAGGGCCCCGGAGAAGGTCCCTGGGGAGGGGGGA